GTTGCTCTTGTTGCCAGGCTGAAGTGCAATGGTACGATCTCGGCTCACTGCAACTTCCACCTCCTGGGTTCAATTGAGTCTCCTGCCTCAGTCTCCCAAGTAGCTGGGATTAGAGGTGCCCACCACCACAGCCAGCTAATTTTTGTATTTTTAGTAGAGATGGGGTTTCACCATGTTGGCTAGGCTGGTCTCGAACTCCTGACCTTAGGTGATCTGCCCGCCTCAGCCTCCCAAAATGCTGGGATTGCAGGTGTGAGCCATACGCCCGGCCTTAAAAAATTTTTTTGTAGAGATAGGGGTCTCACTATGTTCTCCAGGGTGGTCTTGAGCTTCTGGCCTTAAGTGATCCTCGTGTCTCAGTTTCCCAGAGCGCTGGGATTATAGGCTGGTGCCACAGCACCCAACCAAGGCTCTGCCCTCTGCTCTCCAACTGGCCTCACTCCACCTCCTCCTGGTCCTCCTCTGGAGCCAGGACCACATCCGAGCGGAGGTCCTCTCACCAGGATTTGCCTGTCTTAGACAGGATTTTCCCTACCCCTTCTCAGAAATGGCCCTTCTGTTCTCCTTTTCCCTGTTTCCACTACCTGCATTTTTCCTTCCACCGAAGCTGATGACCAGCTCAAAGTCGGTGACCAGATAGAGCCGTTGGCCCCGCAGGGTGACACGCAGATGCTCATCCGGCCTGTAGGGGACAGCCATCTTCTGGTTGTTGACCTAAAGAGGGAAGACAGGAGCCACAGGGAGGGCTGAATCTGCCTGACCTAGTACCTTTTCTGCCTGGGCTTTGCTTTTCCCAGGCATGTCCATATGTCTCCGTGAAGACAGGGGAATGAGCTACCCAAGTGGGGGCTTTGCTATTCCACGTGGCAGAAGCCTCTGTGAGGTCCGCCCCCTTCCCAGCCCAAGTCCTTCCTTGCAAAAAATTGGTGCAGTGAGGCTGGGCATAGTGGCTCACGCCTGTAATCCTAGCACTTTGGGAGGCCGAGACGAGTGGATCACTTGAGGTCAGGAGTTCGAGACCGGCCTGACCAACATGGGGAAACCTGGTCTCTACTAAAAATACAAAAATTAACCAGGTGTGATGGCGCGTGCCTATAATCTCAGCTACTCGAGAGGCTGAGGCAGGTGAATCACTTGAATCTAGGAGGCGGAGGTTGCAGTGAGCTGAGATGGTGCCTGCCACTACACTCCAGCCTGGGTCACAGAGTAAGACTCTGTCTCAGCAAAACAAAACCAAACAAAACAGAATAAAACCACACTGGTGCAGGGGATGCCATTGATTCTTCAGCCTGGGACTGACCTTCACACGCCTCATGCTCTGCCCTCCACCTCCTCTCTTCCTCTTGTCTCTTGCCAGCTTCTACTGCCTCCTCACATGCAGTGAGCTTGTTGTTGGATTTGTTTTTGGTTTTGAGACCGTTTCTCTCTGTCACCCAGGCTAAAGTGCAGTGGCAAGATCCTGGCTCACTGCAGCCTCAAACTCCCGGGCTCAAGCAATCCTCCAGCCTCAGACTGTCCAATAGCTGGGACTACAGGTGTGCACCCCCATACCCGGCTCATTTTAAATTTTTTGCAGAGATGTGGGATCTTGCCATGTTGCCCAGGCTGGTCTTGAACTTCTGGTCTCAACTGATCCTCCTGTGTTAGTCTCCTGAGCAGCTGAGATTACAGGCATGAACCACTGCGTCCTGCTGACTCCCATTTTCCAACCCGCCCGCCCCTGCCACCAATGTCTCAGGGAACAGGGACCCCTGACTTCTCCTCCTCCAGATGGCCTACCTGGTCCAGCTGCCTCCCCACACCCACCAGGCCCAGGCCCAGCACTTACCACAAGCTCCAGGCCAGCTTGGAACTGCACTTTATAGCCATAGACGGTGGTAATCACCTCGTGCAAGAAGATGGAGCTCCCGGGTGGATACATCTTGTTGCGTCCCTCCACAAGCAGGGGCTCCACCCCATCAGGTAGCATGTCCACAGTCTTGATCAGGACATAGGTCATGCGGCCACGGAAGCGGTAGCTGAAGCCGTCAAACGTGAGGTAACGGGGGTCCCCGTAGATTGAGCATTGTTCAGACTCTGCCAAGAAGTCAAACAGTGAGAAGGGGCTGGGTGTGGTGGCTCAGGCCTGTAATCCCGGGACTTTGGGAGGCAGAGATGGGTGGATCACCTGAGGTCAGGAGTTCGAGAACAGCCTGGCCAACGTGGAAAAATCTCATCTCTACTAAAAATACAAAAACTAACCAGGTGCGGTGGTATGTGCCTGTAATTCCAGCTACTTGGGAGGCTGAGACAGGAGAATCGCTTGAACCCGGGAGGCAGAGGTTGCAGTGAGTGCCTGGCTCACGCTACTGCCCTTCAGCCTGGGTGACAGAGTGAGCCTTCATCTCAAAAACACAAAACAAAAGAGTGAGAAGGAACCCTGCCCAGGTGTAATGGTCCCCAAAGTCACTCCCCCACGGTGACGTCCCCTGTGGCCACCCTCTTAGGCTCCCTGGATCCTTTCTTTTCTCTTTATTTATTATTATTATTTTTTGAGACAGGGTCTCCTTCTGTCGCCCAGACTGAAGTGCAAGTGGCACAATCACAGCTCACTGCAGCCTCTAACTCCTGGGCTCAAGCAATCCTCCTGCCTCAGCCTCCTAACTGGACTGCAGGAGTACACCACCACCCCTAGGTAATTTTCTTTTTTTTTTTAGAGATGGGGTTCACACTATGTTGCCCAGGCTGGTCTTGAACTCCTGGCTTCAAGAAATCCTCCCAGCTTGGCCTTCCAAAGTGCTGGGATTACAGGCACAAACCACCGTGCCTGATGCCTGAGCTTTTTTTTTTTTTCCCCAATACCTAGTGACACTCAATTAAAGGCCCATTTTTATTTTTTTTCCGGACAGGGTCTTACTCTGTCTCCCAGGCCAGAGTACAGTGGTACAATCATAGCTCACTGCAGCCTCAAACTCCTGAGCTCAGGCAATTCTCCTGCTTCGGTCTCCTGAGTAGCTGGGACTCTAGTCACAAGCCACTACACCTGGCTAATTTTTAAATATTTTAAAGTTTTTTGTAGAGATAGGGTCTTTCTATGTTGGCCAGGCTGGTGTTGAACTCTTGTGCTGAGGTGACCCTTCCACCTCGCCCTTCTGAGTACTGGGATTACAGGCGTGAACCACCATGCCCAGCCTCCCTGGATCCTTGATCTTCAACTTTCTCCCTCTCCTGGCCTGATTAAAAACCTTAGAGAGGGCGGGCACAGTGGCTCACACCTGTAATCCCAACACTTTGGGAGGCCGAGGCAGGAGGAACACTTGAGATGGCTTCAAGTCCATCCTGGGCAACATAGCAAGACCCCATCTCTACAAAAAAATAGAAAAATTGGCTGGGTGTGGTGGTGCATGCCTGCAGTTCCAGCTACTTAGGAGGCTGAGATGTGAGGATCACTTGATTCTAGGCATTTGAGGTTACAGCGAGCTATATGATGGTGCCAGTGCACTCCAGCATGGACAACAGAGCAAGACCCACCCAGTCTCAAAAAACAAGCAGCCAGGCACAGTGGCTCACACCTGGAATCCTAGAACTTTGGGAGGTCAAGGCCGGCAGGGTCCCAGAGGGGATCAGGACCTGGCACATGGCCACAGAGTTGACAAAAGCCAGATTGGAGACCAGACCTCCGGATTCAGTCGCCCGCCCCAACCCCTGCCTGTGCACGGGTTCAGGCTAAACCCCCTCCTGCCCTGCCTCTTCCCCCAGCTCAGCGGTCAAAAGATAGAGACCATCCTGGCCAACATGGCGAAACCCCGTGTCTACTAAAAATAAAAAAATTAGCTGGGCGTGGTGGTGAGTGCCTGTAATCCCAGCTACTTGGGAGTCTGAGGCAGGAGAATTGCTTGAACCAGAGGGTCGAAAGTTGCAGTGAGCCAAGATCACACCACTGCACTCCAGCCTGGTGACAGAGTGAGACTTTGCTCAAAAAAAAAAAAAAAAAAACCAACCAACAAACGAAAACCTTGGAGGATCTCCATGACAAGTCCCATCTTTTTGCCCTATAGGTGCAGGGTCCCAGAGGGGATCAGGACCTGGCACATGGCCACAGAGTTGGCAAAAGCCAGATTGGAGACCAGACCTCCTGATTCAGTTGCCCACCCCAACCCCTGCCTGTGCGCAGGTTCAGGCTAAGCCCCTTACCGCCCTGCCTCTTCCCCAAGCTCTGCCCTGGCCCCAGGTGCTCCCCTCTCCACCCGCCCTGGTCGCTCCCCTTACTATCTGAGACACAGTTGCTGTTGCTGTTGTCGGAACTGAGCTGGCAGTGGGATCCAGAGGGGCATCGGAAGTCCCTGCACTGAATGGCTCCTCCTGTGCAAACACACTTCTCTGTGCAACCACTGGAGACCCAGCTCTTGTCTGGCTGTAGAAGTCACCAGAAGAGAAAGAGAGTAAGAAAGGGGCCAGGTGTGGTAGCTCACGCCTGTAATCCCAGCACTTTGGGAAGCCAAGATGGATGGATCACCTGAGGTCAGAAGTTCAAAACCAGCCTGGTCAACATGGTGAACCCTGTCTCTACTAAAAATACAAAAATTAGCTGGGCATGGTGGCACATGCCTATAATTCCAGCTACTCAGGAGGCTGAGGCAGGAGCACTGCTTGAACCTAGAAGGTGGAGGTTGCAGTGAGCCAAGATGACACCACTGCACTCCAGCCTGGGTGACAGAGCAAGACTCTGTCTCGAAAAAAAAAAAAANTCCTGGTCAACATGGGGAAACCCTGTTTCTACTAAAAACACAAAACATTAGCTGGGCATGGTGCCACGTGCCTGTAATCCCAGCTACTCAGGAGGTTGAGGCAGGAGAATTGCTTGAACCCGAGAGGCGGAGGTTGCAGCAAGCTGAGATCGAGCCACTGGAGACTGGGCCACAGAGTGAGACTCTCAAATAAACAAACAAAATTTCTAGAGCAAAGAATCAGCAAACTTTTTTGTAGCTTCTGTGGGGCTAGCATTTATAGCTATTGCTCAAGATGGAGAAGACATAGAACAAGATTAACATATTTGACCCCACAAATTTTTTTTTTCTCCTGCATGACAAAAAAAAGTCAAAAGATGGAAACAAAAAGGACTGGAACAATTTGTGTAACTTGGAGCACTAATAAAGGTCTATTTTCCATAATAGAGAAAGGGCTTTCATTAAATAATTCAATAAAGACCAACAACTCAGTGGAAAAATGGCAACCGGATATAAGCAGATAGTTTACAGAAAGGGAAATTCAAAGCGTTCCTAAGCATATGGAAAAATGTCCAACTTCATTCATAATAATAGCTCAAATTAAGACTTGTTATTTTTCATGACCGGGCGAGGTGGCTCACGCCTGTAATCCCAGCACTTTGGGAGGGTTGAGGCAGGTGGATCACCTGAGGTTAGGAATTCAAGACCAGCCTAGCCAATATGGTAAAACCCTGTCTGTACCGAAAATACAAAAATTGGCCACGCATGGTGGCACATGCCTGTAATCCCAGCTAGTCGGAGACTGAGGCAGGAGAACCACTGGAATTTGGGAGGCAGAGGTTGCAATGAGCTAAGATCATGCCACTGCACTCCAGCCTGGGTGACAGAGCAAGACTCTGTCTCGAAAAAAAAAAAAAGAGAAAGTGAGGAGAGAAGGGCCGGTTCTCCTTCCTCTTACCCCAGCAGCCTAGTCCACCATCTGAATGGCTTAATCGATGCCAGAGGCAGCCACAGTGCCAATTGGACATCCAAAAGACACTGTGCGGGGCAAGTGCAGTGGCTCACACCAGCACTTTGGGAGGCCAAATCGGGCAGATCACTTGAGGTCAGGAATTCAAGACCAGCCTGGCCAACATGGTGAAATCCTGTCTCTACTAAAAATACAAAAATTAGCCAGGCTTGGTGGTGCTTCCCTGTCATCTCAGCCACACAGGAGATTGAGGCAGGAGAATCGCTTGAACTTGGGAGGGAGAGGTTGCAGTGAGCAGAGATCATGCCACTGCACTCCAGCCTGGGTGATAGAGGGAGACTCCACCTCAAACAAACAAACAAAAAACCACTATGCTTGGTGTCTTATATATGTTGTAAAACAGACACTACAAACTCATTTTACAGGTGAGCAAACTGAGATAATAGAGGTCATCCAACTCATCAGTGGCACCTAAGAGTGAAACTTAGGTCAGCCTGAAATGAGGCCCTGGTTCTTCCACTATGCCATGCCATGTGCTGCTTGTTTGGATTCCTCGGATCCACCCAAGCCAGGCGCCATCAGCCCAGACCTGGCTGGAGATCAATGTGCCACCCACAGCAGTCTTCACACCCCAAGGCCAGCTGTCAAGTCATGGGTGTCCCAGGCTGAGAGAGGCGGGGAAAAGGAGAAAGCACCACCCTCCAGGTGCGTTGCCTCCCGTCCTCCCATTTCCCATCCCAACTCACAGGGATCGAGCCACCATGGGCATCCTTGCAGCTGCACTGACTTCTGGGGACACACTTGTCCTCATTCAGCACATAGCCAGGCTGACAAATGCACCCCTCAGCACAGGCAGAGGGGACTTTGGCGCCCTCACAGCGGCCATCCAGGTCCCAGCAGGAAGGTGAGCAGGAGGGAAGGCAGTTGGTGTACCTGCTATAGGCAGGGCATTCCAGAGCTGTGGGTGAAGGAAACAGTGAGTCAGCAGAGAGGGTCAGAGGGGGCCAAGGTGGGCACGTGTAGGGGGGAAACCCCGCAAGGGCTGGGGCAAGGGTCTGAAGCTTCAGTCTGTTCCCATATAAATACTGATTTAGAAAAGAATTAGAAATGTAGGCATATAGTTATTCCTTTATATAATCATATATAATCTTACAGTTACTTATCATCATAAAAATGTATACTCAATATAACCTTTATTTTACTAATGATTATCGGGTTATGAAGCATGGAACTGAGGTGACATTGTGCACAAAGTGATCCTAAGGCAAGAGGCTCTAAGCCCTCTGTCACGCCCACATAAGGGCTGCTGGAGGGCGCCTCGGCTGTGTGGCAGCGCCAGCACTGGGAAAGTGCCCACCGTTCAGCCAGCTAGGGAAAGAGATATCCAAAATGACCGAGACATCTCCTTCCTGGGGAAGTTAGGAGAAAACTCCGCTTCTCCAAGTTCTTGTGGTAAGGCCTGGCTGCCGTCAAGGAAGCCCGCAGACATCCGGGGGTTTAACTGTCTCTACGTGATGCTGTGCTTCAGTGGTCACATTCCATGTCTACTCTCACGGCCTGCATCTGTACCTGGTTTCTCTTTTTCTTCAAAGATAAGAATTAGTAATAGTAACATAATCTTAGTGTCCTTGACATTTCTGACAAATACGTGAAGAGTGCTGATGCATTAGGTTTTCTCCTCGCCTCGGCTACTTGAAAGTCTTGGGCCCCCTATCTTCAAGATACGTGATTTACCTGACCCTATCACCGACCACCATTACCTCACCCTACCTTCCCTGCCCACTGCTTTGTACTCAATAAAACTCAGAGTGTCCAGGCGCTCGGGGCCACTGCAGGTCTCTGCGCTTTGGTTGGCAGTGGACCCCCAAGCCCAAATTCTCTTTTCTCTATCTCTGTGTCTGTGTCTTTTATTTCTGGTTTCTTGTCTCCGCACCAACAGGGAGGGGCTCACAGAACCCTATAGGGGTGGACCCTATAGGCAGGGGCTGTAGAAACCAGGCTATGGATGGATGACCAACAAGGCTTGGGGAGATTTTTTTTCTTTTGTTATTAATTCAGCAAACATTTACTGAGTGTGGATTGTGGCCAGGCTTTGGGTAAAGAAAGGAATAAGAATGGCCAGGCGCGGTGGCTCACGCCTGTAATCCTAGCACTTTGGGAGGCTGAGGTAGGTGGATCGCCTGAGGTCAGGAGTTCAAGACCAGCCTGGCCATCATGGTGAAACCCCATCTTTAAAAAAATTAAAAAGGCGACATCCACTTCCGCCCTTTTGGCTCTCTGAGCAGCACCATGGCGGTTGGCAAGAATAAGCGCCTTATGAAAGGCGGCAAAAAGGGAGCCAAGAAGAAAGTGGTTGATCCATTTTCTAAGAAAGATTGGTATGATGTGAAAGCATCTGCTATGTTCAATATAAGAAATATTGGAAAGACGCTAGTCACCAGGACCCAAGGAACCAAAATTGCATCTGATGGCCTCAAGGGTCGAGTGTCTGAAGTTAGTCTTGCTGATTTGCAGAATGATGAAGTTGCATTTAGGAAATTCAAGCTAATTACTGAAGATGTTCAGGGCAAAAACTGCCTGACTAACTTCCATGGCATGGATCTTACCCGTGACAAAATGTGCTCCATGGTCAAAAAATGGCAGACAATGATTGAAGTTCATGTTGATGTCAAGACTACCGATGGTTACTTGCTTCGTCTGTTCTGTGTTGGTTTTACTAAAAAACACAACAATCAGATATGGAAGACCTCTTATGCTCAGCACCAACAGGGTCCACCAAATCCGGAAGATGATGATGGAAATCATGACCCGAGAGATGCAGACAAATGACTTGAAAGAAGTGGTGAATAAATTGATTCCAGACAGCATTGGAAAAGACATAGAAAAGGCTTGCCAATCTATTTATCCTCTCCATGATGTCTTCGTTAGAAAGGTAAAAATGCTGAAGAAGCCCAAGATTGAATTGGGAAAACTCATGGAGCTTCATGGTGAAGGCAGTAGTTCTGGAAAAGCCACTGGGGATGAGACAGGTGCTAAAGTTGAACGAGTTGATGGATATGAACCACCAGTCCAAGAATCTGTTTAAAGTTCAGACTTATAATAGTGGCAAATAAAAAGTCTTATTTGTGAAAAAAAAAAATTAAAAAATAAAGAAAGGAACAAGAATGACTCTCCCAAGTAAGCATGGTGGACAGAGGTCACACAGCAACTGCAGCATGACCTTGATGTACATGATCAGTAGGTGGGTTCACAGGCAAGAGTATACAAGGTGTGATGGAAGCACAGAGCAGGGAGGTATTAATTCTGTTGGGGGAGTTAAAGAAAGGCCCTTAAGCAAAAGTAGTGTGAACAAATGGAAATGCATACCATGTTCATGGATAGGAAGGTTCAGCAACACAGTGATATTATTTCTCCCTTAGTGAATGTACACATTTAATGTGATCTCAATAAAATATATCAAAAGTATTTTTTTTGGTGGGGAGGATGGAGTTTCTCTCTGATGCCCAGGAATGATCTCGGCTCACTGCAGCCACCACCTCCTGAGTTCCAGTGATTCTCCTGCTTCAGCCTCCTAGGTGGCTGGGATTATAGGCATGTGCCACCATGCCTGGCTAATTTTTATATTTTTAATAGCGACAGTATTTCACCATGTTGGCCAGGCCAGTCTCAAGCTCCTGACCTCAGGGATCCTCCCACCTAGGCCTCCCAAAGTGCTAGGATTATAGGCATGAGCCACCGCACCCAGCCACAAAAGTATTTTATATAAGTGTGTGCTTTTAATAGGACAAGATGATTTCAAAGTTGAGCCGAAGATATAAGCAAACCAAAAAAGCCAGGAAATCCCTTAAAGAAAAAAAGAGCCATAGCCAGGCCCAGTGGCTCAAGCCTGTAATCCCAGCACTTTGGGAGGCCGAGGTGGGTGGATCACGAGGTCAAGAGATTGAGACCATCCTGGTCAACATGGGGAAACCCTGTTTCTACTAAAAACACAAAACATTAGCTGGGCATGGTGCCACGTGCCTGTAATCCCAGCTACTCAGGAGGTTGAGGCCGGAGAATTGCTTGAACCCGAGAGGCGGAGGTTGCAGCAAGCTGAGATCGAGCCACTGGAGACTGGGCCACAGAGTGAGACTCTCAAATAAACAAACAAAATTTCTAGAGCAAAGAATCAGCAAACTTTTTTGTAGCTTCTGTGGGGCTAGCATTTATAGCTATTGCTCAAGATGGAGAAGACATAGAACAAGATTAACATATTTGACCCCACAAATTTTTTTTTTCTCCTGCATGACAAAAAAAAGTCAAAAGATGGAAACAAAAAGGACTGGAACAATTTGTGTAACTTGGAGCACTAATAAAGGTCTATTTTCCATAATAGAGAAAGGGCTTTCATTAAATAATTCAATAAAGACCAACAACTCAGTGGAAAAATGGCAACCGGATATAAGCAGATAGTTTACAGAAAGGGAAATTCAAAGCGTTCCTAAGCATATGGAAAAATGTCCAACTTCATTCATAATAATAGCTCAAATTAAGACTTGTTATTTTTCATGACCGGGCGAGGTGGCTCACGCCTGTAATCCCAGCACTTTGGGAGGGTTGAGGCAGGTGGATCACCTGAGGTTAGGAATTCAAGACCAGCCTAGCCAATATGGTAAAACCCTGTCTGTACCGAAAATACAAAAATTGGCCACGCATGGTGGCACATGCCTGTAATCCCAGCTAGTCGGAGACTGAGGCAGGAGAACCACTGGAATTTGGGAGGCAGAGGTTGCAATGAGCTAAGATCATGCCACTGCACTCCAGCCTGGATGACAGAGTAAGACTCTATCTCAAA